TAAAAAAAATAGAACAAGCAATTCAATAAAATTCCCAAATTCTTCACGTGATAGGAAGTATTAAAAAAGGAAGGAATTTTGGAAAACCTTTTCTAAATTCATACCCTCAGAGAGATATGAGAACATTTTACCTATAAAATATGAACAGGGTCCTTTGAAAAAGGGGCAATTCACAAACAGGAAAGTTTTCAAAATTGGAAATAATTGTGTAATTTTTCAAAAACTCAGCAAAGAGATTGGACAATAGAATGGATGCAGTTCAACAGTAATCTTTTAGTGTAAGAGAAGAAATTGTAAAATTTTTAATAAACGGAACATATAAAGTAAACATATTAGTAAAACAGAACATATAAAACATATGATAGAAAGTTAAGAGATGGACTGGGGTTGTGGCTCAGTGGTAGAGTGCTCGCCTAGCATGCACCAGGCACTGGGTTCAAGCCTCAGCACCACATAAATGTAAAATAAAGATATTGTGTCCACCTAAAACTTAAGAATAAATTTTAAAAAAAGAAAGAAAATTAAGAGACATGGAAGAGACTCCCAGGAGATCTAACATTCCTCTAAGAGGACTTTTAGAAATTCACAACAGAGAGAGGAGAGGAGGGTGCTGAGGATGCGGCTCCATGGGTGGAGTGCTTGCCTAGTGTATGATGCCCTGGGTTCAATCCCCACAACTGCCGAAAAAGAATAGAGAAGAAAAATAATAATTTAAGAAGTATCACATTGCACACCATAAATATACACAATCATTATTTGTCCATTTAAAATTAAATTTAAAAATAATTAAAGAAGCCCAAAGTATTTCTTGGGCTTAAGGAAAAAAAAAAAAAGAATATTTAGACTGAGAAGACCTGCCAAGTACCAAGCTGGAGAAATGAGCACACACATTAAGAAGCAGGGTGGGGAGAAGTGAACGAGTTTGCTTTGCAAGTGCCTTTAGGATATTCTGGTAGAAATGGAATTAAAGCCCTGGGTAATGATCAGGACTGGAGAGAGCTTTGAGAATCATAGAAGGACCTTTGGTGAGAGAAAAGAACAGCAGAGCAGAGGAGGGGACCAGAAAGGAAAGGGCTGAGGGGGGAACCCAAGAAAAATGGATAAAACAACTGGAATCTTTCTGTTTCCACGGGAGGTGTCTTAGTTGCTACCTTCTGGGGAGAATCAATCTGTCCTCTTTTCTATCGCCCCCGCCCTACCCCGCCACCCTGGGCTCCCATGGGCCACACTGGCCTCTCCCTCAAAGCATATTCACCAGCCTGGGTTTTGGCTGATGAGGGTGAAAATCGCTGGGAGGATTGGAATGGTGGCTCTACTACTCAAATTAGCCCATTTTCAGGTGGAAATCAAATCTTTATTCTTGCTGAAACAACCTGTCTCTCCACCGAAGTAGCTCATTCCGAACCACTTAGAAGCAAACAGCACATCTAATGATGGAAGATAACACACCTAATGGAGAGGTAGAGCATCAGGCCCTCTTTCCTGCTTCGTTTGCTTTGGGGGCGGCAGGGAGTAGGAGTGGCAGCTGCAGGGAAGAGGGAGAAGAGAGAGTAAAAGAGGAGAAAAGGAAAAAAAGAAGACTTGATACAAAGAACAGGAATGAGACCCAGTCTTCATTCCTCCCCCAGCTTGCAGCAGAGGGACCCTTGTCCCAGACAGGATGCCAACTGAGCCTCTGAGAGAGGAAAGGGGATTAGAAAATGCAGAAAATTTTGAGAACTGCGAAGTTTCTTCTCCCTCAAGTGAAGGCTGTTCATTCTGGGTCTTTCTCCCTGAAGTGTTATACTTTGGGCTCAACGTTCCTCTAAGAGCCATAGATGAATTGCACTAAAGGTGATTCATAATGGGCACATCTCCAGATATTCTCTGCTTCTGCCATTTTGCCCGTGTCTTGCAGGGGAAGGGACTTGTATGTGTGTATTTCAATGTTTCAACCCCTCATACATGTACACGCACACACACATGCACACTCCATTTCTTTATTTTATTTTTTGGTACTGGGGATTGAACCTAGGACCTCATGCATGCTAGGCAAGTACTCCATTACTGAGCTATACCCCCACATCCACACTCCTTTCTTCCTCCTTTCTCTCTCTCTCTCTCTCTCTCTCTCTCTCTCTCTCTCTCTTTCTTTCGTGGTACTGGAGAACTAGAACTGCACTCTCCGTTTCTTAACCCCCATGTGGCATTTATTTTGCCTCTTCTTCAGTTCTTCCAACCCATGCCCCAAATAACCAAGATCGCCTAAAAATATGCTATGGTTGACTCCTTTCTTTCCTTTGAGGCCTTTCAGAAGGGCCAGAGCCAGAGTCTTAGCAAGGAGAGGGCAGGAGGGAGACACAGGCAATAGGCAATGGGTAGTTCTCCCTGCTTGGAAGAGAAGCCTGATGTTATCTGCCTGGGTGACCAGAGATGGTCTGAACCCTGACCGCTGTGGGGGTAGGGTGGACACCAGCCAGCTGCAGATGGAGGGGTAGCATATTGTGCTCAGACCCTTATCAGGACAGCTCTCTCACAGACCAGTCCTGCAGAAAATAAAGCCCCTCTCTGTGATCGCTGTCGCTGCTGCTGCCGTCACTTTGTTATGAGGGTTAGTGACTGTCCATTAACTCCAGAGAGCTGATTCTTGCCAGCGCTGCACCAACAGCTGGGAGCCAGAAAACACTGATGTGGAGAAGGGGGGCTGCTTCCCCACCCTGGCTGGGCACTCACACAGTAAGTCAGGGAGGTCACTGGCATGGCTTACTCAGCTCTACCCAAGTGCCAATTAGCTAAGGTTTTTCTGAGCACTGGCTGGGCCTGCCATAGTTGAGGGAAATTATTGTCAGAGAAGCTCATTTTGTTTTTATATATAAAAAGGAACCTCTCTGTAGGAACGGATCTTTCCTAACTGTCCCCTCCTTCAATCTTCAAGGAGGGAGATCCCAGCCAGCCAGGGTCCCTGGGAAGAGATGGCCAAAGGTCAGGTCCCTGGCCTATGGCTACTCACAAAGGTTATTAATGGTGGTGGTGGCTTTTGGCCTCCTGGCTTGGAGGTAGGGGTCTTAACAACTTAGCCACTCTGTAGACACTCATGACTTTCAGAAGGAAATAAGGAAGAGAAGGATCTTAAAAAAAAAAAAAAGATATATTTTCTGGTTCCTAATGCTCCTTTCTACTCCATTCATAAAATCCAGTTTGTCACTGAAAGGCCATTAACTCTGTCCCCAAACCAGGTTAAGAAATGGTGTGCTGTAGTCAAGGAGAACTGAGGGGTTTTTGGGTTCAGGAAAGCTGCAGAGAGCCCCACAGAATTTTAGGGCCTGGATCTTAAAGCTCATCTATCTGCTTTAGCCCTCTTCTTTTACAGATGAGAAAAACTGAAGCTCACAAAAGGGAAGGGACCTGCCTGAGACAGTGACAGATCTGGGACCAGAACGCTAGGTTCCTGATTCCCAGTCAAATGCTTTTGTTCTGATACATTTCCCTATTTCATTCCCTTATTTTCTACCCAATTACTGAGTCCTTACTATCTTCCAGGTGCTGTGGGGGAGGGGGTGGGGAGGAAAGCAAAGAGATGAAAACAACACAATCCCTGCCTTCAAGGAGCTGTTTCCCTAGATCTGTGATTCTTGGAAAAAAATTAAAAAAAATAAAAACCCATGAGTCAGACTCTCACCCTATATTATCTTCTATAGGTGATGATGGAGGAGGAGGAGGGAGAGGGAAGGAAACCTTTTAATCTCTTCAAGACTTATGAATTGGACTTTGCTGATTCTGAAACTCTAGGGAGGACAAGGACAAAGGGAGTCATGGCTGGGCTGGGAGTAGAGAGGGTAAGGGTGATAATGATCAGGTCACTGCCAGCAGGCCTGGCTAGGGGGTGGGAAGAGTGGCAGTGGCTCACACTGGTCTGGAGATGCACAAGTGAGAAGCTTGTACCTCTGATAAGGTGCACTGTTTCACTGAGTCCCAAGGCAGTTCCCTAAGGTGAACAGAACCTCAGAGTTCTTATTCCCACCTTAGGGGTGAGGAAAAAGGTCAGAGAGCAAGGATAACTGACCAAAGCTGCTAAATGCCCGGCCAGAGACTCCTATTCTAGGGCTCTTTCTACCACTGGGGTAGGGAAGTTGTGCTAGGGTAGAGGATGGGGATGAAGCCCTACAAAGTATGGTCAGCCACAGCCATTAGCCAAGTCTTCCTCTGATTGCTACATTGTGCTACTCTTGGTACTCTGCTCTGAGGAACTGGAAACACTTTGCAGGCCTGAATGAGCTCATTCAATACACTCTTGCCAGAAAGAACTCCAAATGGAGGCTCTATCTAGGGTCATCAGCATTCAGGCACACAATAGGAAACAGGACCTAGGTTTCCCCTTCTTTGTCCTCATGCACCAAACAGTATGATGCAAAACTGGCCTTCTTTCATGAGAATGAAGAGGGCCACCAGAGAAGATTGAGGCATCTCCTGGTACCTCCTTTCTAGCTGGGTAAATGGGTTAATCATTCCTGAGGGGGTGGACCCTTCCCTTGACCAAGGGCCATTTCCAGGGCAAATAAATCTCAGAGCAGAGGGGATTGCAGCTACGCAGTGACCCTGATAACCAGGCTTAGGTAGGAGGAGAGGGTAGTTTAGTGAAGACAGCTCAGATTTGGCTAATGTTGGCAGGACTGTGGAAGGTACTGGGGTACCATGGATTCTGGGAGACTCTTATCAGTGATTTGGTATCCAGTGGGCAGGGTGTCCCAAAGCTGTTTGGAGGTCTAGGTCAAGGCCAGGTGATGTGGGTTCAGGATGCCCAGGTGCCTGTCATAGTCCTGGTGCCTCATACCCCTCCTAGTGGCCCCAGACTATGGGGTGAGAGGTTGAGAGGGACATGGCACAAGCTCTGGAAGAGCGCAAGGTGAGGCCAGCAAGGAATCAGAGCTCCATCCTTGAGAGGGCTCCCACTGCCCTCCGGGCTCACTCCAGGTTCTGCGCCCAGCTCTGCGCGCCCTCTGCGCCCCCAGACGGCCCCTTACCTGTCCCGCTGCGGACGGTCCCGCCTCCTCCGCGGGGCTCGGGGACCCGGCATCGGCCGGCGAGCGACGGCGCCCCCGCCTCGCGGCCGCGATAGAGCTCCCAGAAGGGCTCCCCGGCTCCTGGCCCCGCGTCCTGACGCCGCCGCCGCTTCAGCACCGCGGACAGCTCCTGCCCGCCGCCCGCCGCCGCCCGCCCCTCCCGGCGCGGTCCCGGGAGCCTCGCATCCTGGCCGGGCCCCGCCGCCGCCGCGCAGCCCTCAGCCCGGCCCGAGGCGGCTCCGCGCCGACTTGGGGGAGCAGCGAGGAGACTCCCCCCTCCTCGCCTCACGCCGCCGCCGCCGCCTCGGTGCTCCGTGCTCCCTTCCACGCTCCGGAATCAGCCCACCAGGCACTCCGGACCCAGCTCCCGGGAGGGGCGGGGCGGGGCGGGGCGGGAAGTCGCGGAGCCCAGAAGAGGCGGCAGAGCGAGGGGCGCGCAGCTGGAACCGCTGCTCTGGCGCCGGGAGCCCAGCCCTCTCTCCCAGCCCTTCTCCCAGCCCTTCTCCCCCGCACCTCCAGCAGCGATGCGCGGCCCTTGGGTTTCTTAAAGCCTTTAGGAGCTCCAGGGCTCCCAAGCCCTGAGTTTTAATATTGATCTGCCCTAAAAAGAGAAATACACAGAAAACATTTATTGAGTGCTTACTATATACCAGATACCATGCCAGGTCATTTATTTATTGTTTAGGGATCAAACCCAGGGCCTCGTGCACGCTAGTATGCCAGGTTGTCTTTTAACCAACATAATCGCATTCAATTGTCTTAATTCTATTAGCCACCCCTCCCATTTTTATAAATGAGGACGCAGGGCTCACAGATTAAATCTCTCAATTTCGAGATGGCAGCACTCGGCTGAGAAGTGTGCATGCTGCAAACCCATAGGTCTAAGTTTTATTTGCAGTGTCCCACTTATGAACTGTGATTTTGAACAAGTTACTTAACCTCCCAAAACCTTTGGGTTCTCGTGACTCTGAGAACCCAACTTCTGAGGGGTCATATGGGGACATATGTGATACATTGGCAACCAACAGGCTCTGAGTGGCTGAGCAGTCTCTTGTTATTTCAGTGAGAGAGCTCAGATCTAACCACAGGGATTCTATGCTTTTTTTTTTTTTTGTACTGGGGATTGAACTAAGGGGGCACTTTACCACTGAGCTACATCCCAGCCTTTTTTTTTTTTAAGATGTTGATAGACCTTTATTTTATTTATTTATTTATATGTGGTACTGAGAATCAAACCCAGTGCCTCACACATGCTAGGCAAGTGCTCTACCACTGAGCCACAACCCCAGCCCCTATGTCTCAGCCTTTTAAAATTATTATTATTTTTTTAAATTCTAGGACAATATCTCTCTAAGTGGCTGAGGGTCTCACCAAATTACCGAAGCTGGTCTTGAACCCAAAATCTTCCTGCCTCAGCCTCCTGAGTGGCTAGGGTTACAGGCATGTGTCACTATATCTATTCTGCTTTTTATCTGACCCCAACTTCAGTTTCCTTTTAATGGATGTTGTGAGTAGATAAAGTTATTCAAGTCTTATTCTTCCCATGAAGTCTTGAGTCTTACCATAGTGAGACTCAAGAGTAGGGGCTGGAAGAGCATTCTTATTTTCTGAAGGTCAGTGAGGACCTGCAGAGGAAACAGCAGAACAGACTGAAGTGGGGGCTGGAGCTGGAAGGCACTGGGAACCAGGCTCTGGACATGGGATTCCTCCCTTCCCCTATCCAGGGATGCCACAGCACACTGAATGGTAAACTCCAAAAGACATGGAACATCTGGAGCTGTCCCTTTTAGTTCCCAACATGCAGAGAAGTGGCCAGGAGCTAGCCCCCTTTATCAACTCCCTCTGCCTGTGGTCTGTCCCTGTGATCATTGTGTTAAATATATTCTGCTCTTCCTGCCCCAGTCCCATTAGAATATAAACCCCTTGAAAAGGAGGACTCTTGGACCTCACAGCTCTGCACAGATCCCCTTTTCCCTCCTCCACAAGACCTGGTCCCCTGTTTTCATATGCCTTTCTGTACCTTTGCTTCTCTCTGGCCTCCCTCTCACAAGGGCTTCTGGCCCCTACTTGGCTTCTCTCTGCTTCTCCCTTCTTACCTTGGCTTTGCTCCATGACTGGGCTGCTTACCGAATTACTAATTGAAAGGATAATAAAAAAAGCCAGTGAAGCAAAAGCTGCATATAAAATCCAAAAAACTAATGTTGATAATTATACGCTACTGCCTGGAGGGAAAGCTCCAAGAGAGGCCTTTGGTGTTATGTTAAAGGCCCTGCTCTGGGTGCCAGGAAACCTAGGTGCTAGTTGCCTCTGTCACTAACTGGCAGTGCCACCTGAGGCTGTCTAATCTTCTTGGGTCTTTGCTCCCTTAGAATTCTAAGCCCTGGCAGGAGCTTTGAACAAACTGTAGCACCCTAGGAAATCTGTAACAGAGAAGAGAGGGCTAAAACAAGCACAAGAATGGAGTTTCTTTTAAGGAAATCACTTTTTACAGGTTCAGGTGGTGGCTCTGGGATGAAAGAGTCTAACCCTGCAACTGCCCATTCCATTCCCCATTCCCTCTCGATCCCTTCCTTCCCTTCTCCATCAAGCATTCCTTGCTCTGCAATGGAAGTCAGCCCCTCTGAGTACAGCACAAGTCCTAGTGGTGAAGGGTTTGGGGTAGATAGACCAGCAATTCGGACACATGGAGATCAATGCTGTCATGAGTAAGTAAAAAGTGCTCTGCCTGGGGTAGTCCCAAGAGGCTTCCTGGAGGAGGTGACATTTAGGTTAAATTTTATTAAAGAATGAGACATTCACAAGGCAAGCCAGCCAGGCTCAGGGAGGAGGGAGTTTTGGGAGGAAGACTGGAGTGAGAGAGGAGTTTGAAGGACAGGTGAGGAAACTGCGGCAGAGTCCAGGAAGGAGGTGGTAAGAATTCAAACAAGACCAGGTCAGCAGGCTGGGGAGCAGGGGATGGATTTAAGACACTTTAGACACTTTGGGGTGAGAATAGAGGAGAGACTGACTGTGGGGAAGGGCATGGACATCAAGGAATAATGTTGGGGCTTCCTGTGTCTAGGAAACTGATTTTTATTTATTTATTTATTTTGGTACCTGGGAGTGAACCCAGGGGCGCTTAACCGCTGAGGCACATCCCTGCCCCCCTTTTATTTATTTATTTTTTATTTTGAAACAGGGTCTCACTAAGTTGCTGAGGCTAGCTTTGAATTTATGATCCTCCTGCCTCAGCCTCCCAAGCTGTTGGGATTACAGGCGTGTGCCACTGCACCCAGTCACCCCCAAATTTCTAGGCTTTTAAATTTTTATTTTTTTTGCAGTGTTGTGAATGGAAACCAGGGCATTGTGCATGCTAGGTGAACATTATACCACTGAGCTACATACAACCCAGCCCAGTTTCCAGGCTTTTATACTCTTTTTTCAATTTTAATCTCCCTTTAGTTCCTAGGAAAAAATTTTTAAAAAATTTTTTGTAGTTATAGATGGACACAATACCTTTATTTATTTATTTATTTTTATGTGGTGCTGAGGATCGAACCCAGTGCCTTACACATGCTAGACAAAAATTTTAAGCCAAAAAAAAAAAAAAAAAACCACAACACAACACAAAACAACCCTTTCATCTTATCTTCTCTTGACTGTCTTAATGGAAAGGTAATGTCCAACATGGGCCAGGAGAGCTGGGAGGTGGAGATGCCCTAGAAGCCTACTTGGAGGAGACAGCAGGCATCCTTGCTGGAATCAGAGTGACGCCCATAGATAAAGGACAGAGCAGCACTGGATGAACATCTGGAATAAGATGCCCCTGTGTCTTGTTCTTCTCCTCCCACCTGTCTGACAGTATTCAAGAGAGGGGAAAAATAAAATTAAAAACCACTGGTGAGTTTTTGTTAGAGTCAGCTAGGGCTGCTAATCTCTTCCACCTGGGGACTTCCTTTCATATGCTTTTTCATGCATAAACTCTTAGTTCTTTTTACAAGGGGTTGATTTTTTTCCCCCAGTGTTCCCTAGAGGATGTAAATCAGCACTGAGTACAGAGAAATCTGCTTTCCTTGCTACTTGATAGGCCTCATATTGAATCCTCTCCATAAAGGGGAAGGTGAGCCCCTTCCCAGCCCAGTGAGCCCAGTTCCTCATGGTCAAGCTCATGGTCAGGGCCATGTTGTGCTGTGACCGACAAAGCCCTGGGTAATAAGGAGAGGGAGGCTGGCAAAAGGCAGGGACAGGTGGGCCTTTGGACCACCCATCAGCAACATCCTGTGCCCATGGACACAGCTTCAGGGTGGCCCAGCTCCACACACTGTGAGTGTAGGCAGGTAGAGGGAACCAATTCTTGACTCTAGATCCAAGAGGGAAAGAAACCTGGAAACCCTCACTGCTTCTGAGTCAGGCCTTTTGGTGAGAGGCAGACACACACACACCCAATAATGGTGTCTATTCTCTATCTCTTAAACTTTTCCTTTGGGGACTTTGCAAGTTCATTAACAGCTGCTCACTTCCTCTCTCATAGGAGGCTGCAAAACTGAAGACAAGGCCATTTCTTTGGAATCACACTGATTCATTCCCGGGAAAGATGAGGAGAGTTCTCAGCACCAGTTCTGCCCAACTCCCCCTTTTCCTGCCAGACACATGCTCACTCAAGCCTGGGGAGGAAAGTGGGTGTGAGTTACTGCAACTTTGAGAGGCTGAGCAAGAGCATAAGGTGGAAAAACAGGGCAACGGCAGACTGCACATCTCAGAACTCCAACATTAACTCTGGCATCCACAGCTGCCTCGGGGGCATGTGAGCATTTGCTCCCTGGCAGAGAAACCTGCACTGCTGGCACTCTCTCACTTTTGCAGAGCAGAGATGTGTGAGCATATGAGTGTGAGGGTGTGGGGTGATGGGGTGGGGATGATCATCAGTGGCAAGCAGACTAAAGTGTTCTTTCCACCCGACACCGTGGCAGAATGAAAACCGGTAGAAGAATGAGAGTGCTTTCTATTTGCCTTGCATTCTACTGTTTTAAAAGCATATGCTCAGCCACTACTTTGTCTGATT